TACTCATGCTTCTACAAATCATCCTAAGATTTCAGGCAATCATAAGATCCCTTGGATTATTGACTATGGTGCATCAGACCATATGACTAGTTTATCTAACCTCTTTTGTTCATATCAGCTCTTCTCTATTAGAGAGAATATATCCCTTGCTGATGGGTCTCTTGCTCCCATCTCTAGAAAAGGAGATATCAAGGCCTCTGGCGCACTTGTTTTTATCCTTTGTTCTTCATGTCCCCAAGCTTAATACCAACCTTTTATCTGTTAGTAGCTTGACTAAATCCATGAACTGTAGCATAACCTTTTTTCCTACCCATTGTGTTTTTTAGGAACTGAAATCCCAGAGGACGATTGGGAGTGGCCATGAGGCGAATGGAATATACTTGTTAGACACACCTGATAAGAGTCTTGGACCACCTAATGGAATTGCTTTGGAGTCTATTTTGTTAGTCTATTAAAGAGTCATGTTATATCATTTATGGTTTGGTCATTTACCTTTTCCTGCCTTGAGTCATTTGTTTCCTGATATGTTTAAGGGAGTGTCTTTATCGAGTCTTCATTGTGAGTCTTGTGAACTTGCAAAGCATTGTAGGCATTCTTATTCAGTAAGCAATAAAAGATCTATTTCTCCTTTTCATGTTGTGCACTCTGATGTGTGGGGGCCATATCATTTATCTACTATGGGGGGTTATAAGTATTTTATCCTCTTTATTGATGATTATTCTCGCTATACTTGGATTTATCTCATGAGATCTTGGGATGAAGTACCAACTATTGTGCAAAAATTTCATGAACTTATCCTTACCCAATTTAACACCTGGATCAAAATATTCCGATCTGATAATGCTAAGTAATATTTTGATAAGAACCTCTCATCCTACTTTGAGACCTTTGGGGTTATTCATCAGAGTTCTTGTTGCTACACTCCACAACAGGATGGAGTAGCGGAAAGGAAGAATCGCCATGTGGTTGAGGTTGCTAGATGCCTCCTTTTTGCATCTCATGTTCTTATTAAATAATGCTAAGTAATATTTTGATAAGAACCTCTCATCCCACTTTAAGACCTTTGAGGTTATTCATCAAAGTTCTTGTTCCTACACTCCACAACAGAATGGAGTAGCGAAAAGGAAGAACCGCCATGTGGTTGAGGTTGCTAGATGCCTCCTTTTTGCATCTCATGTTTTTATTAAATTTTGGGGGGATGTTGTCCTTATTGCCACTTTTTTTATTAATCGTATGCCTTCTCGGGTTCTGGGTTTCACGACCCCGTTTAGCCTTCTCTTTTCGAATGAGGATCTCTTTTCTCTTCCTCTCCGAGTTTTTGGGTGCACCTGCTATGTACATGTTCATAATCATCAGAGACACAAATTTAAGCCTAAGGCACATAAGTGCACTTTTCTAGGATATACCTCCACCCATAAGGGATATTGCTATTTTGATCCAGTCCGTGGCACCCTCTTTGTCTCTAGGGATGTCACATTTGTTGAGTCTATTCCTTTCTTTACTATTCCTCCTGAGGGGGAGCTTCTGAGGAACCATTTGCTATGTCTCCAGTTGTTCCTCTTCCAGTTACTTTTGAGTCTTCTGGTGAGTCATCTTCTTCTATTGCCTCTCCTTCCACTGTGTCTACCTCACATGTTCCTGCTCCTCCTCCTCCCCCAGATCATCCTCCTATATTTTCCTCACATCTTGTTCTCCAAAGGTGGTACCAAAGATAAAGATTTAGGCATGGGCAAGTTGTTTCCAATCCTTCATCAGAGCCTTTTGCACCTTCCATCACTACTGAGGTAACAGGTCAGCCTTCCTTTGACCCACTTGCCACCTTCCCAGACCTTGACCTTCCTATTGCCCTTCACAAAGGCAAGTGGAAGTGTACATCACATTGTATCTCTAAACATTTGCCCTACAGCCTCCTATCCCCTACCTATTATTCTTTTCTTACCTTTGTTTTACCCATGTGATTCCCAAGTCTGTACCAGAAGCCTTGTCCAAACTTGAATGAAGGAAAGCTATGATGACTGAGCTAGATGCTTTGCATAAGAACCATTACCTCTGTTTTACCCAGTTGGTTATAAATGGGTATTCACTATCAAATATAATTCTGATGGCACTATTGAGAGGTTTAAGGATCGATTGGTTGCTAAGGGTTACACTCAAATGTATGGTATTGATTACCTTGAGACTTTTGCTCCTGTGGCTAAAATGACTTCAGTTTGAGTTTTGTTGTCTCTAGCTGCTATTTTTGATTGGTCCCTTCACCAATTTGATGTTAAAAATGCCTTATTGAATGGAGACCTACATGAAGAGGTCTATATGTCTTTACTTCCAGGGGTGTATGGAAAGGAAATGCAAGGGAAGGTGTGTAAATTGAAGAAGCCTCTTTATAGTCTCAAATAGTCCCCTAGAGCCTGGTTTGAGAGATTCAGAGCTGCCCTTGTTTGTTTTGGTTACACACAGACTCAATCTGACCATACTTTGTTTGTGAAGAGAAGTAATTCTTGGTGACGTTTCTAATTGTTTATGTTGATGACATTGTGGTTACGGGTAATGACACTCAGGAAGTGATTAAGCTCGAAAGATTTCTTGACATTGAATTTGAGATAAAAGATTTAGGGGGTTTCAAATATTTCTTGGGAATTGAAATTGCTAGATCTAAGGATGGTATATTCATTTCACAGTGCAAGTATGTTCTTGATCTCCTTACAGAGACTGGTAAACTTGGTGCTAAACCGGCTTCCACCCCTATAGACCTAAACCATAAGCTTTTTGCTATTGATGGTGAATTGTTGACTAATAGGGAAGTGTTCCAGAGAGTCAGAAACTGCTCGGGAAGTTGTTATATCTCTGCATAACTCGGCCAGATATTTCTTATGCAGTAAGTGCTATTAGTTAGTTTATGCATTCTCCCAGAGATACATATGTAGCAGCTGCAGAAAGAGTTTTGTGCTACTTGAAAGGCACTCCAGGTATTTTGTGTTCCAAGCATGGACACATGAAGCCAGAGGCATACATTGATGCTGACTGGGTTGGATGTATTTAAGAGATCCACCTCAGGATATTGCGCTTTAGTGGCAGGGAAGCAAAGTATAAGGCAATGGCACATGGAGTGTTAGAGTTATTGTGGTTGAGACCACTTTTGGGAGAGTTAGGTATTGACTATGAAAAGCCAATGATGCTCTACTATGACAACCAGGCAGCTATCAACATTGCACATAATCCTATTCAGCATGACAAAACTAAGCACATAGAGGTTGATAGACATTTCATATGGGAAAGAGTTGCTTTAGGGGAAGTTTGTTTGCCATTTATTGCTTCAAAGAGCAGTTGGTTGATGTTTTGACCAAAGGTGTTCCAAAAGGAAAGTTGACACACTATATAAGCAAGATGGGCAAGATTGACATCTATGCTTGGCTTGAGGGGGAGTGTAAAGAGACTAGGCCAAATGGCCCCTAATATTTGTTTTATGTTTAAGTAGTGTTTTATCTATTTTATGAGTTAATGGGCCTGTTAAGCTCTTTTTAATTTCTTTTAAGTTCATGCTTTGCTGGCCACCCACTTAAAGGGCAGACTTGTAATTAGCATAATTGATTAAGATTAATAAAAGATTAATGAAGGGAGAGAGGTATCCACCGAATTCTCTTCTCATTTCTCTTCTTCTTCTCCATCTTCTTCTTCTATCCTGCTGTAACCATCTTTTCTCTCTCACTTTTCTTATTTTTTATCAGTTTTATATGAGATTTGAAGGACAGATTCACATCTACAGATAACAATATGATTCCAAAATGTTCTCAAATGGGCATGGGTAGGGATAGCAATAGAGTATGAAAATCTGAGACCTGATCCTGTTAATTTGGATTTGGCTGATCCGTCAGGTTCAGAATTTAAAAGATGCATCTGCTTAATAATCAGATTGAATGCAGATCTAACTCTATTTGATCTGATTATGATTCAAGTTTGATTAAATGTTGTACATAGACACACATATAAATAGGTAATATGTAATTAAAATTTGGCTAGCATAATGGCCAATGTAATATTCACATATCTAATAATATTTTCAAATAAATTCCTAAAGAAAAGGAAATTATTTTAAAGATACCATTGCACCATGTAATTTCAATTGGATCATCCCAAGACGGTTTATGTCATGTTAGATTTTTCAATATACTTGTATAAGTCAAATAGTGATTAATTTTCATATTTTCAGTATATTTCTTTATTTTAAATATGGTAAAACAGACTAAGATTAAAACAAAAAATATGATAGGGTCCTAATCCAATCTGAAGCCCCCTAGATCCAATAAGATTTTGGATGAAAGTTGGATTGTATGTTTTATTAATCAGATTGAACTTGGATGTGGCTAGATCCAATCTGAATCCTACCTGATTACATCCCTAGGCCTGTGGTGCTCATTTCTTAGGGCTTGCTTAAAAGAAAATTCAAGAAAAATGCCTTAAGGCTCAAACTTGGAGGCTTATGCATCAATGTATAAGGAACACTTGCACTTTTCACCTTGGTGGGGTTCTTATATTGAAATACACATCTCATATATTGATCAGAAATAACCTTCTTCATCACAAGACAGAGAGAAAAGATCAATTTCTTGAACTTTCCTGCCATCTTTGATTTCCTTAATCTAATAACTCATTTTTATATTAAACAGATTGAAAGTTTTTATAATCCTCCGAAGGATCTATTTCAGATTACTAGTCTCCATAACAAGCACAAACTAGTCATTTGCACGACTTTATTACATTTCTTTAAACTGCAATTCTTGGCTTCTGTAAACTTATAATATAAGTTCATTATAAGGTATCATTTTTCTTACAAGTGAACTGAACACTAAACAGCATTATTTTCAGTGTTAAGAAACAGTAAACCAAATCTTAATTGAAAACACTTTTCCTTAACCATTGATATTATTTTCATGGCAACGCATTTTAAAATACCGGTTTCTTAACAAGGTCATACTCAGAGAAAAAGTAAAATTTAACTTTCTTACAGTATTTAAAGAGCCAAGTTGTACAACTCCATGTGGAACAACAGCTACAACAGCAATTGTCTGCACAACAGGGATAAAATATTATTATTCCAAATTTTAAACAAAACAAAAACTGGGCAGAATTTGTAGAATTGTTTTGGTAATAAATAAAAAAGAAAATTTTATTAAACAAAAGAGGTTACAGGAAAGGTGATAAGCTATCACTCGCGAGAGAAAAAGAAAAAGCTGAAGTCCCATAACATCAAAAACTTCCAAGACCCTTTTAGAGTACAATTCTCATCCCCAACCCTTAATAAATTACAACCAGTCTACCAATATCCAAAATAAACACCAAACCATAAAAAAGCTCATCCCTACGTCTTTGACTCTATTTTGAAATGGCACTTGCAGAATTTTTTGAAATGGTATTATAGAGTGTAATGTACAACATTATGCATAGAGTACATAGGTGATATTTAGCTCTTTTCATCAAAAAGGAAAAAAAAAAAAGAGGTGATATTTATCTCCCCAAACCATAAAAAACACAGGTTGATGTCTAGTTCCCATATAAAGCATGAAAAAGCCAATCTGTTTGCTTTTTGCACTAAAACAAATTCTGGCTCATTTTTACTTCAAACTTTACTTCATCTATACCACAAACAAACAAAACAAAGTAAAGCACGAAACTAAAAGTAAACCAAAATTTTCCCTTGACTCATTTGCATCAATGCAAATGGAATTGCACTTGAAACAAACCAACCAGAAAGCCCAAGTATCAAAAAGTTAGGAAACTCCATATTTTAAACCTCCTCCAATTCTCTCAAATTAGAATTGTTTGAGGCATTCCTAACTATTTAGTTCATCCACTTTATTTTTGACAACCAAAACATAAATTATCTGAACTCATTTCCATCACCCAATGTTGGTTGGCTTATGTTCGCAAACTTGTCAACCAACTCAGTGCAAGATTTTTTAATCAATCTAAATGACTCAAATGTTATACCCTAACCCAAAAGAAAAGTGATGCAGTATGGACAGGTCTAACCTCCTGGGAAATGCATTCTTTCCTTACTGGTCTTGGATCTCCATCCATATATTTTGTAACCACTCAGAAGAATCACATCCATCAGATGGTTTAGGTTTAGCCTGTTTTACCCAACTACCCAAGTTATCTTGTACGCAATTCCATTAATGAGCCTGGACAGTACAGTCTTAACTAGATTAACATATCATATTCGCAATTCTCAATGTCCATAGGTTATGAAATCCAATTGACATGTACTGTAATTCTCCAATATACACAGGCAAAAGATATTCAGTTCCGAATAGCTATGAAGCCCTTGGCAATTTGGTTTCTGGATATGTAGAGAGATGATGTGTCAGATCTTTGTAAAATGGCATTTTCCATGTTGGACCCGTTTCCCACCATGTATTGCAGTTTTCTGCCCCAATATTAGCCATCAGTTCTCTTTTTAATTACTAAATAAGAAAAAAAATTGCAACTCCTTTCTGCGGTAGGTGGGTAGAGGGCTTTTGTTATGGACACACCGCCCGGCAGCGCACTGCGGCGCAGTCATAGGCAGCAGCACGCACAGCAGCAGACACCGCCCGGCAGCGCCGCACAGCAGCACGCACCGCCCGGCAGCGCGCAGCACGCATCGCCTGGCAGCGCGCACCATCCGGCAGCAGCAGTAGGGCGGGGCCCACATGACAGCTCATCAGGGTGGGTCCACACTTATCTTACCACATCAGCTCTGCCCGCCAACTCGCTGCCAGCTACATCATTCCTTATCCTTATCCCTATCTTATCTTATCTTATTTTCTTAAGTAAGAATTGTGTTACCATTAGAAGTAGGTAATTAGGAGTTTGAGTTTGAGTTGGATTACCTTAGCCTAGCCGAATCCAACAAGGAATTTCCTTTTGTAAATCTCCTATTTAAGGAGCTACGAGTTGAAGTAAAGGCATTCAGTTTTCCAGTCAAGAAAAGAGTGAGGAGAGTTCGGGTGGTCTCTTGGACAAATCACCCATTCGGTTTTCCACAATAGGTTTTGCACGCAAGGGAAGGCGCAAGGGAAAGCAGGGCTTTCTCCCCGTGGACCGACCCGTGACAAGATCCTACGCGCGGGCCCATAACAGCTTTCTTGGGGGTGGAGGGGGAAAGAGACTTACTGCATAGGGAAGGGTGATGAGCATAAACATGTGAACAGTATGGGCTACTACCTTATCTGCAAGATTTAAAGAATTTTGTATAAACAGGATTCAGCACTTGCAATATTTAAAAGAAATTTTGGCCACATATACATGATATATATGTTCAGAACATATAGTGTCTTATTGCACACTAACAACTATAATCTTTGTGCTCCCTGTCAATAAGGCAACTTAACAAAAATCAGATCAATTAAATGGCATAACCATTCATTGGACACCTTTGTTTCACTATCTTGTTCTATTTGAGAATGCTAGTCCAGATCAGCTAATTAACAAGTATTTAGGAATGAAAGGCATGGCACCACCAGCCTTGGTAAGATTGGAGTTTCATATCAAACATTCAAACTTTTCTGTGTGTGACTCTGTATTGTTGAATTAGATGCATGAATGAGAATCAAATATTAAAGGGGGTGAGAGAGAGAGAGAGAAAGCATACTTTAATCCCAGCTGCAAATTGAGTTTTCCATCCATCACAGTACTGGAATTACCAAAATGAAGTAATAAGTATAATAATATCATGTTGAACAGTGAATACACCTTAAACCTTAGCTTTATGTTGAACAAGGAAATTCCTCACCTCAGATGATGACCAAGAACTAGATGTATGAGTATCTGAAAAAATCCATTGATGTCTTCCAGTAAGTGCCACTTGACCAATAATCCTGCTCAATAAAGAAACAATTGATACAATTGAATCATATTTGTCATTATTGGTATTCAACTAAAAGCACATATGTATGACCAAGCATGCAAGCAAACAAACACAAGTTTAACATGACATAAACATACATATATGAGGAAGAATTTGAAAAATCTATGATTATCATGGACACAGACATCATCATCATCATCATCTAAACCTTGTCCCAACAATATGGGGGCCAGCTACGAGAATCCTGTTTTGCCATTATGTTCTGTTCAGTGCCATATCTGTTGTTAAATGAGAGTGATTTGCTACAATACAAAAAACAAGAACATAAAACCCATATATCTGCTTCACATCATAGTAGATGATTTCCTGTAAATCAATTTTCTCTTCTCTTGGAAAGACAAATCTTAGATTGAATTTTTGCAGAATAGAGCCTGAAAGAAGAAAACATTTTGAGATAACTCATGGCATAGAGTGTAGTTATCATACCCTTCCCCTAGAGAATATACAAGGTATGACATCTTTGCCAGGGCTAATCCAAGCGGATCCTGTAGTCCATCATTTATCTTCACATGGGCATCTCTAAAGCACATATACTCTGAAGGATTGGATTGTTCAGGTTTATCATAATAAGCATCCTCCCAAATCAACATCCTGAAATTAAGATACATTCCCCAAAAAATCAAAGATGGAAAAATAACAACCTTAGATCAGCATGTAACAACTAATCAAACATAGTTAACAACTAAAATTAGAAACATATTAACATTAATGATTGGCTAAGCAAGTCTATCATCCTCAGAAAGTTGAATATCCAACATGCAGTGGTTGTCTTTTCAATATAACATTGATTACTTATTCTTATAATTTTTAATAGGAACCTTAAAAACTTAGAGTCAACCTAGGAAGCAATCGTATGCTTACATGTTGTAATTGAAAAATATACTACTGTGTAATATAATGTTCAACTTCTGTTTTCAGGACCCTTCAAATTGAGTCAAGTTAGGCCAAGTTCAAATCAATCAACAAGTTCCATTCAGCATCAAAGAAGTTCTCAAGACAAAAGAACTAGACAAAAAAATATGCAACTCAATATAACACATTGGAACAGATACCATACAGAACATGATGCAAAATCATGATTTTTGAAGATCTCTTCGAATTTCAAAGATTTAGCATTACCCCTAAATTAGCCTGGGCAAACACACCAGGATCTCTTCTAATGTCAGATCAATTTGGAATCACCTTCCAAATGACTCTTGAGGAGGAATGCATATCAAAATAAATCACAGCAAATTTCTCTTCCAGGTTGCTTATTTTCCATATGGATCACAATAGTGGTTCAAGGATAAATTTCAAATTTTCAAAAAAAAAACACCAGATTATAGGGAACAGCCTTGGAGAACAAAGAAAGCCTTCACAAGGGACAGAAGGTGTGCTCAAGCTCTGTTCCACCATTTTCAAATACTTAATTTAAAATCAATCAACAAGTTCTAATCATCAAGGAAGCACAACGGACAAAATAAAAAAGAACAATGTAAGAAATTGCAACTCATTTAATAACATCTGATGCAGATATAGTACAGAAAATAGTGGTGCAAAATCAACATTTTTTGAAAATCTCTTCTAATGCCGAAGATTTAGCATTACTGCAAAATTAGCCGGAACCAACCCGCCAATTTTGCTTCCTTGGACAGCCAATAAGTAATGTATGTGGAAAGGATCATGTTCAGAAGCAATCAACCAACGCAAATCTGGAAATTAAAAACAAATGCCAATATGAACATCAAGCTCCATGAACAAATGGTGAAGAACAATGCATTTGTCCACTGACAAAGAACGTGACAGTGGGCTCAAAAGAAAACATATTAGCAGCTCGTATAAATGAATACATCGAAAAGAAAGTAAAGAAAAGGAAAAAAAGAAAAGAAAACATACATGCGGGCTCTACGTTTAAGCTTCCAATAGACGGCATATTTCCACTCTGTGTTGAAACAGAGGCTTCTGAGGGTTTGCTGCAACAGAGTACCCATTTTTGACCGACCAAAATTCTCACACTCCGACAAAATTCCCAGGTTTAAACCTTGAAACCCACACAAAGTTTCTCAACTCCAGTCTTTAACTGCCTCTGTAAGAACCTCTTCCCGCCTGTTTCCTTCGCAAACCAGCTCGCCTTTTTATGGGAGGTCCAACAGTAGGAAGCAGCAGATGATCCATCTACCTCTCCCTCGATAACTAAAAGTAGAGGAACCCTACACTTAATCAAACTGCGGTCTTCCAAGTCCTCAGGGTCACTAGAAAATCAAATTAGCAAGATCAGTGACGAAAACCTCTACGCAATTCACTCTGTTCGAGCATTTAGCCATAAATTTCAGGATAACCGTAGAACCCTTCGTTTAGTTTGGTGCTAACTCTACTTTCAATCAAACAACGATTCTCGAAGGAAGAAATTTAAGCAGATTGAAATCGACGAGAAGAGAACAAAAGGAAAAGAAAATCCTAGACTTTCAGCCAATACTTTCAACTTTTTGGGTCGACCTCAAGACCAACGTTTTCTTACCGCCACAATGCCTATCTAGACCTTCTATCTTCCACGAGAACAAATCAACAACTGTTCTCCCATTAGAGCAGAACTTTTGGCGGGAATACCCTTAAAAGAATGATGGATAATTCCAGATTTCTTAATTGCATTTGGAGACATTTTTACACAGAAATCTCTGAATTCAAAGAGATGATTCAACCTTTCACAAAGCTCTCAGAGATAAAGAAGGTAAATGAAAGAAGAGAACATTTCAGGTTGAACTCGAAGCACGACTTAATTCAGAGAACAGCTCTCCCTCCCTCTCTCGTTCTCGTATGCTCATATATGTAATTTACCTTAATTTTCAGTTGTTTCTGTTACTGTACCACATACGACTGAGGATGCTCAATACGCCCCACCCCATAATGTTCGTATGCTCATATCCTACGCATTGGGCGTCGGTTAGAGATGTGCCCCTAACAACCCCTAAAACTCCTTATCACAAACAATTCACAACCGGCATCATCTTGAGATTCTGGTATTAGACCTGGCAATTGGGTTGGGTGGGTCGGGTTCGGGTTGGGTCAAAGTACTTTGGATTGATTTCGGGTTGGATTGTCAAAATGCTAGACCCTAACTCTAAATGTTTGGGTTAGGGTTGACCCATGGATCAATTTAGGTCATCCCAAAAAATAATTAAATCTAAAAAGATAAAAAAAAAATTACATGAAAAATGTTAAAATTAAAAAAATTAACCTTAAAATTCTAAATATAAAATAAAAAACTTGAACATTTAACAATTTAAAAAGTAAATAATAAAAAGTAAAGACTAAATAGAAAAAATTAATGAGTGGAAACTTCTAACAATACATAAATAATCCCAATTAGACTTGACAATCGGGTCAACAGGTTGACTCATGACCCAACCCAGCCCAACCCTTTTTTTTTTTTGTCAGGTCAGGTCGGTCATTTTCACATTTGGATAACTAAATATGAGACCCTAACCCTGTTTTTTCATGTTGAGTTGAGTCGGATTTGCGGGTTGGATCCGTCCTCCATGGTATAGGTTAAGTTAGAGAGAGGGAGAGAGAGGTGTTTATTGGTTGTTTATTTATGCAAAGGGAGCTTTAGTTACGTAACCAAGGTGAGATGCTACTTATGCCTGTGTTGGCAAACAACATGATGTCTTGATGAAAATTTGCCTCTTATCTTTCTACCATCTCTTACGTTTCTCTTCATTCCTTTTTCCAACTCTCAACTTAATATCCTCTGTATCATACCTTTTCTTCTTGAGCAATGATTCTGGTACTAAAAGGTGGTACAATTCAATTTACATTGTCTCTCTTTGCACTTCCATTCATTCTATACCCAACACAAAATTGTCTCTCCAAGTGTCATCCCCATCAGCACTACCGGCTAATCCATGTCTGCAGAGTGGCAATCAAGAATCAAATGTGATGATATGTTTGATATTGATGATAATTGGGCCAGACTGGCTGACCCATCTAGAGAACCCCCTTTCTTTAACCTTCATCCAAATTGTTGTCTAGAATCTAAGTAGGGATGGCAATTTCTACCCTACTTGGTGGATACCCGCCCCTACCCACCCTGACAGAATGGGCTTTTGTTGCTTGAAGGGTGGATTTTGGGGCGGAGACAGGTTTTGAGATTGTACAATTCATACGGGTATGGTATTAGGCTAAACCCAATCCTCCTTGACTCGTACATTGCCGAAAACCTTGTGAAATCTTTATGTAATAGGTGTAGAATTTAATAATTGTTAATTTTTTTGTAAATGACATAATTTATGTATTTTTTACATGTCTTAATAAAATAATTAAAAACTTTACTATTTGTTCATGTTCTTTTACTTATTTATTGCTTACATATAACAAAAAATAATAAGAAATTAGATATAGGTTATAAACCCTGCTCACCCTACTCTTGAATACGGAGAGGGTTTGGATTCTCAAAATCCAACCTGCTATGGGTTTTTGGGCAAATACAGGTTGGGAGATTTTGAAAAGGAGTCTAGAATTTATAAAACCCTCCCCAAACCCATACTGTTGCCATCCCTAAATTAAGAATTGATGCAATCCTATAATGAATTCTTGGAGTTAATTGCATGTCTATTAACTAATTCTTCTTGTGCCTCACCAGGGCAACATTGTTATTGAGAACCCATGATTCCTCTTACCAATGTGATCTTCAGAGAATGATGTCATGGCTCCTAATCATTTCCATAAATTCTTTTTTCCTATTTTCCCACTTTTTTTTTAATTATTAGCATGCAAGGTTGAGAAGCATGCTGAATTTATTACTCACAAATGAATATGATACAAAATGAAATTAACAAAAGGGAGGTCATACATCATAAGGTCAATCAACTAAAACTATATATTAACAAAATATCAGTAATCAAGAATGATATAACAATATATTTTGACATAAGAAGATTTATCGATCTATACGTATTGTTTTTGCTATCTTGACATTTGAATCACCTCTTATTCTTTATTATCTTGTTTTCTTACACCTTTTATCTAATTAGCTATAGCTAGCTAGAGACAATCGTACTAAAGTTTATATATTCTGATTTCATATTAATTTTTGATTCCCTATTAATTAATAATAATAGTCCATGAAAATAGAGAATTCATTAACTCATAGAGCTATTATATATTGAGATCAAATCAGCCCCCCACAATATCCCACAGCATATCCCTGACGTGTATTGGGAACATCTCTCAATGATAATATCAGAAATAATGATGTCATCATCGGGAGATGTTTTCAATACATGGCGGAGATGTGCTGTGTGGGTGGCAATCTTGTGGGGGCTGATTTGAACTCTTACATATTAAGTTTTGGCATGCATGAGATAATATTTCTATCACCATTATCTACATATTAAGTGCATATCCTTGTAAATCCAAGGCATTCAATTGTCAGCCCAATTGCAAAGATTTCCTTCACTAAAAACCGATCCACTTCGATGATTATCCATCTTTTGGATAGGATTTTTTTTGGAAAATTCCTGATTAGTACCCTTACTTTGGGCTTAGTCTCACTTTGGTCCCCAAACTTTAAAACATGACAATTCAATACCTGAACTTTCAAAACATGTCAATCCAGTACTTGTCATTAGCCAATCTGTTAACTAGTTGTTAAGTAGCATTTGAAAAGACACAAAATGCCCTTCAAATGTCATCTAATTCTCTTTATCATCTATCCAAATGTTCATAAAAAATGAACAATCCCAAATCCTTGTCTCTTTTATTCAAAAAAGTCGGGGTCATGTCTCAATTGGAATTATAGTGATTCCAACTTTTTTTAATAGAAGAGGCAAGGGTTTGGGACTGTTCCTTTTTATCAATGTCTGGATGGTTGATAAAGAGAGTCAGATGACACTCAAAGGGTATTTTGTGTCTTTCCAAATGCCACTTAATAGCTGGTTAATGGCAAATACTGGATTGGTATATTTTGAAAGTTCAGGTACTAAATTGTTGCGCTTTAAAATTGATGGACCAAAGTGACATTAGGCCCAAAATAGATGGTACTAATCAGAAATTTTCTCTTTTTTGAGATATGAGATTCTCCTCTTATTTATTTTTTTCCATTGCAAGGAATTATTTGATATAATAACAATCCTTTTCAAAAAAAACAAAAAATAGAAAGAAAGAAAGAAAGAAAAATCTATTTATCTATTGATTAGCTGGAAGCATTAAAATGGTTTACTCATTTTTTCCAAGGGATCTATGTAGGGTCTACTGGTATAGTTGTACTGAATGTAAGGAATATTTTAATTTTACCTACTAGTCTCATATAGTCATATATTGTAATTCTACAAAGACTATTGACTGTTTCTACATAAATTAAGAAAATGTTCATCCTTTTAATTTACAATTGGCGAGGGTAACTTTTTTGAACCAGTTCCATATAAATATAAAAGAATTACAAAATGGTCTATGAAGTTATCTTCTATATTCTTTTGGTATATGGAATTCTGAAAAAAGGATGTATATAAGGGAACAATGATTCAATGATTTCAAAATGTTTATTTTTTAAATATGTTCAACACAAGTTTCTACATAAAAGATCGAAGGGTTTGCTCAGTGATCTGAGTTATAGATCATCATTATGCTTCACAAGTAATAAAGACTCCTAAGAAATATGACCTCACAAGCAAAACCTACCATCCGATTGACCCCTACAAGATCTCTAGCTAGTTCATAAAACAACCTAACAAAATGATTACATCYTTATGATCAATGATTACATGGACCACTATTTTATTACAAATGACAGTCTTAGCTTATTAATATTTATATTAGTTTTACTGTAGAAAATAATGTGACTGGTTGAATAGTACTTATGATGATCATCATGAGTTGGGAAAAAATTAGTGACCTTATAACAAATTAAAATAAGATTCTAATACTGAGTAGTAGTGCTTGGGCTCTTTAATGCTCATTGAATGAAGTCAACTTGCTAATGCATGAAGAATTAAATTCATTGATGCAAATGGTAGATCGTTTTTTGAATAAAAAATTAAGAAATGAAATGAGTAGGATCATGAATATAAAGTTACAGAGGAACATGATATCTTTCCCTTTCCCATTCTCAAATATATATTAGAAAGGCTTTCTTCAATTTTCTATTGAGGAAGTCCATTATATAGTCCATATGATGTAAGGATTATGTAAGGCTGCCACACTGAAAAGTGAAGAAGGTGTGACCATTTTATTAAGGAAGTTTGGATTCCAAGCATGCTTTTCCCACCTTTTCTTTCTTTATTTTTTTACTTCAATACCTCWTTAGAGCAGATAGCCACCCATGTTAAATGTGAAGCTCTCTCTCTCTCTCTCTAAGCCTAAAAGAAAAGGAGGAACCAAAATCATTTTAAGTAGATTTTGTAGATTTGCTTTTCACTAACATGTAATCCTAGTTAGTGCTTCCTTGGTCTCTCTAGTCATGAGTGGTGATTTGATATTTGCCTTCTCCCTTCTCTCTATCTCTCTCACACACACATTTGAGACGAGTCAATTTAAATAGGTTTAAAGAGTATTTGAACTTAGCTTGTAAAATTTTCTTATCTTTATAGGATTATAGTGGCCATTATGCAAATGGGATATCTACTAGGATTGGAGTTGGATAAAACACCAGTGCAAACCTTTGGTTCTTCAATCCATGGCTCGGTTAAAGAGAGAGTTATATGGTATACAGTGGCTTGCAGAAGAGGTTGAAAAAGCTATGACTTCCCAACTTCAAAAAGAAAAAAATAATAATAATGGCTTGGCCTAGTTTCATCAAGTGGGTTTTCCAAAAATTATGTAGGTGCCTTCTTTTTTTGGTAAAGAAAAATAACATTAACTGAAAAC